GAACATCGACTTGCATGGACATGCAACTTGCGAGCACAAATGTTGATCTGGGCTGCAGCCCGAGGCCCATGAAGCACGAGCGCGCACGCGCTGCAGCGCGATGCGACATCACGACAACAACTTTTTTTGTGCTGCAGCGCAAAGTAGCATACGTGCTATCAAATTTGGAGCGCTGCAGCGCTCAATGCGAACATCGAAAACAACGAATACAACAACACATAATTGACATGTGCATTCAAATTCCTTGCACACGGAGCTGGACGAAACTGAAGATCCGAACAACGTGCAATTAGAAAACATGCATGCGTTTAACTCAACATTCAGCGCTGCGGCGCTTCATATTCAGCGCACGCAGCGCTTCATGTTCATATAAATCCGAAGGCGGCGCTGCAGCGCTTCTCATATTTAAGGCAAAAATCCAGGACACCGGCTCCAAATCAAAATGCAAAATTTGTAGCGCTGCAACGCTCAACGAACAAACTCAGCTCTTTCAAGAGGTGGATTTACCCTTTTTCCCTGTGCAGTGCCCTTGGATAACAAGTGCAATGTAACCACTAAGTCACTTATAACCTACTTAGCTAACTAGCTATAAGTGGTTATAAGTGGTTAGCTAAGTGCGCTAAGCACTTAGCTAACTGGTTATAAGTGGATAGCTAAGTACTTACTAAGTCATTACTAAGTGGGCCACTTAGTAATGACTTAGTAAGTACTTAGCTAAGTCCGCTAACTACTTACTAAGTACTTAACTTAGCGTAGTAAGTATGTTAAGTACTTAGCAACCGCCGCGGCCATCCAAGTAGGCGACTTGGCTCTAGCCCCCTGCCCTCTAAAATTGTTTTCTGGAAGCTTCTTGCTCCTCTCCCGTCGTCTTCCCTCCTTCGCCGGGTGGGGGTGGGGGCGGGGGTCAGGTCCCTATGCGCTCGAGCTTCGCCGACTGGTTCGGACCAGGGCCAAACATCCTTAGACGGGGCGGGGAAGCCCACCTCGCGTGCGCGGCGCTGTGCTGCCCGCGTAGGCCTGGCCGTGCGCGACACTGATGTCGCGCGTCACCAGCCCACCCACCGGCCCTTGCCCATGGAAGGCCTCAGACAATTGCTAACTGCCTGGCGCAATGGGCGCCCACGGAAGTGTGAGCGGGTAGCGTCCCAGAAAGGGATGGCGGCGCTCCTCGAGGTGCAGCCGGACAGGCCTGCCCGCCTCCAGCCTGCTGGAGGTGCGAGCATCCGATCGCTGGCTGCCATCGTGGACGATCTCGGCCGCTTCCTGAAGGAGGCGCTCCGGGGTATGCAGGGGGCGGGGCTGAACCAGCCTATCGCGTCGCCCTACGTGGGCGGAGAGCGCATTGGCGAGGCGGTTGCCAGGGCACTGACCACAGCGCCCCTTCAGACAGAGGGCCGCGCGATTGGCTCCAGGAACCCGGGGGTTGTCGGCCTTTCCACGTTGGGGGCGAATGAGCTTCTGCATTGGCGGCTCTGGGGTATATCGGCGTCGTTGCAGCAAAACGAAGTACACATCTGTGTGATCTCTGGGGCACGGTTCCCACCGGGTGCACGTTTGCCCGGGAGTTTCCCATGCGCGTGGGTTGGCAAGTAAGCGTCCTCATATGCATCAGTTGGTTGTCTTATCCTTGCGGAACTTCTGCCACCAGTGATCTCAATCGAAAAATATTGTGATGATAGGTGGCATACCCTCAAGGCGCGGAGCCCGAGCGCCTCCAATGAATGCCGATGCACATACGTCTATGGCTTCTATGGTGCCCCGGGGGGCGACAGAGGGACCTGGGGAGCTGTCATTCGAGCCCGAGCGGTCCTTTCGGCTGCTGACCCACAGGCGCAGCATATCTTACATGGCGATGGTAACGCACACTGGGCACACTTCCTTGACCATGCCCCTGGCTGTAGATGTGCCGATTGCGCGCAGTCCACGGCGGACAGAGCTGCGCAGGCAATGGCCGCTGAGGCCGGACTAGCTCTGTTCACGACTCCCCCGTGCCCGCCTACGCGTCAGGTACAGCGGTTGGCGTAGTCCTAGCTGCGACAAGTTTGCCAATCCAGGTCAGCGTTTTGGACTCGTTCGTAGCGGCCTCCGACCGCAAATTGGTTCTCGGCCGCCCCCCGCATGAACTAACCCTTCGGTTTGACGCGGTTGTCGGGAGGGCTCCGTGGGCATCAACTGATAAATTGGACACTGCGCTACATATTGTCGCGCCTCTCTTGGACTTACTTTCTGACGCTTTGGCCCGCTCCCGTGCGACACAGTCCTGGCGCCGCCAATCCTATCAGGCACGTCGTCGAAGAAGGTGCGGCGTGGCATCTTGGACTGCGCGACTTGGTGTTGCGGCGTCGTGGTGGTTGTAGCCGGCCACGCAGCAGGCGCGGTCGAGCTTGCGGCCCCGCGGCAGCGCGCGCCCAAACGAAGGGCGCCGGGGCCATCTCCGGACGGCTTCGAGACTTTTGCGGAGTTCAAGCAGGCAGTTCAGGAGGCTACCGGGGCCGTCCGGAGGGCGACGCACCTTCGAAGTACATTTCCCTCCGGGAGAGCGACCCAGGTCGAGGGAACGTTTCCTCTCCTCGTTGTTCCGGGGAGGCGCCTCTACCCAAGTAGCACTCGACGACTTGGCGACAGGCGGGGCCATGTCGCAGGAGCAAATGGTTCAGGCACTCGTGGGTGACCTTCTCGCCCGAGCGCAGGACACATTCCCGCAGGACGAGGCCGTCGCCGCTGCAATGGAGCGCGAAGCTTTGCGCGGCACGGAAAGCTGGCGCCACGCCGGGGGGCGCGCCTTCCACGTCTAGTGCCGCGGGCCCTTACACTGCAGAGGAGATCACCCGGGCCATCGCCCGTCAGCGGGCGTGCGGGGGTGGTCTTGGCTGCGCTACGGCAGCCCTTAAATCTTCGGTCCTGGCCGGCAGGAGAGCGACCGCCTGCCTCGCCAACTTGTCCCACCGCATGGGCATCGCGGCATCAGTGCGGTCGCTGCGGAAAGATTCGCCTAGACAAATCAGGCCCGCACATCGTGCTTCCACCAGCTGCCTCCGGCCCAGCATCACATGCTCGGACTTTGCTCAATTCGCGCTATGGGCTGAAAGACATCTTCCATGAAACCAAGAGTACTGTGTTGATAGCCAAGCCGGTGGTGTATCTGATCCTGTCGCACTCGTGCTTTGCATCACTCATAGACCTTAATTGGGGCTTTGATGTAGCAGGCCACAATGGTATGTTACTGGGTACTTGTAGGGCAGGAGTACACGGGCGCGCCTGGCTGTGGCTCGACGACGTCATGCAGCAAGACACCCAGGCATTAGAACTGCATGGGCTTCTCTCCTCGGCGTTCGTCCTGGCATGTGGCACGGCGCAAGGACGCTGATTTTCTGCCCCAGCGTTCAACGCCCTCCTCCGGGATCTGCGAGACGAGGTGGAGTCGGCGCGCCCTGGCGGGGTGCGAGCAACGCCGCCGCCGCGGGCCCAGACAGCCCTGCTTGAGGCCCACGCCTGGTCCCCAGCCGAGCTACTTGCTGAGGCCCCAGTAGGGCCCGAAAAGGTCTTAGCGAAGGCGCAGCAAGCTTGTGAACAGGTCACCCGTGCAGATAGGAGCAAGCGGTGCCCTGTTTGTGGCTGCGGCGGCGGTCCTGGCGCAGGTCACGTCACTGTCAGACCGCCTTGCGGTCATCGAATGTGCGGGCCGCCGCGGGCTGGTCATGTTGCAGTACATCGACGACGGGGTGGCTCGTTGCCCATCAGCAGGGGGAACCAGGGCCATCCTGGACCAGGCCATCCCTTCCGCCACGGTGAAGTATGCTGCGAGTCATAAGGCTGCCTTCTATTTCGGCCCCGGGAAAACCGAATGCATGGCTCTGCGCGGCAGCCCCATATTTGAATCGTCTGACACGGGCTTCGATCTCATGTAAACACACAAGATTGTTGGGACCACCCTTGACGCCGAGCTGTCCTTCATCCCCCACGCTAAGGCCACCCTAATTAGCCGTGGGGCTCTCCTTGTTCGATGAGCTATACCAAGCAGCGGAGGCGGGCGGCTTTCCGGTTCGTGCCTCAGTTGCCCAAGTTGTGATGCGATTTGTACCCGCTGTGCTGGCAGGCGCCGCCGTGCTTGCAGCTGTGCCCAATATTGAGAGTGATCTCGATAGCCTGCAAGCGCGCCTGGCCAGGCTCACCTTGGGCTCAGACACGGCCCCAGACTGAACTGGGCCCTTTCGCGCCTCCAGTGCCAGTGGGACCAGAGGGTTGGCACACTCATGTCCCTGCAGGTGATCATGGCCCGCGCCAGGCTCTGGGTCCTCCCGGAGGGACACCCGGCGACGACGATGTGGGACGCCGCGCGCGAGTCGCCGGCGCCCTCCTGGTGGCGCGCGGCTGGCCAGATCATGGCCGGCATGCCGAACGAGCCCCTTCCAGACATCATTTTTCACGAAGGTTTTTCACAAAGGAGGTGGTCGCAGCCCAGTCTTCGCCAGCAGGCCGGAAAACGCTTCTCCGGCGGTGCCGCCAAGAGGTGGCGTTGCCCGCTCTGTGCGCTTATGGCCAGCCATGGGTAGATGCGGCGGCTAGCTGGCCGCTGCCATGATTGGAGCTACCTCTTCGCAGCCGCATGCCCGGCCCTGCAACAGGATACGCAGCAGGACTTGCTAGAGGATCTTGGAGGAAACCTGTACTACAGGCTGTGGGCGTTATGCAGAGTGTTTGAGCGCTGGCCACTACCACTCTTAGGCGTGGAGGACGCGCCGCTGGCTCTCTGCCTTGCTATGCTGCATGCCCCAGCGCGGAGCTGGACGTCCCCTACGCATTGCTTGCGTGCGGACACACCTTGGCGTCGCGACGCCAGCTGTGGGCATCCATCGACAGAGGGCCGCCTGAGACGCAGCAAGCGGCGCTCCTGGCGCTCTCCAGCCCAGAAGCGACCGCCGACTGCATCAAGTACGTGGGCTGGGCGCTGGTGCGCTGTGTTGGGCAGCGCTGAGCACCTGGCAGGGGCTGGCGGATGAAAGACTCCGACCTGCGCCCCTGCCAATGTGCAGCCTTCCCTCGCCACCCCCGCCCGGCCCGCGACCAGAGCGCCAGTGCGGGCGCAGGGCGCGATGGGAAAAAACCATTGCGGCGAAACGAGAAACGGGGGAAGAGGACAGAGCAGGAGGAGCGGGAGGACGAGGAAGAGGAGGAAGGGACAGGGGGACGAGGAGGGAAGAAGAGGAGGAGGAGGAGGAGGTTGAGGAGGAGGAGGAGAAAGAGGAGGTGGAGGAGGAGGAGGAGGAGGAGGAGGAGGAGGAGGAGGAGTCTCCGAGGTGCCCGTGATCTTCGCGGACGGCCTGCCGATCGCGCAGGATCGTTCCTTCCCCGCATCTTCCAGCGGAAGGGGCCTCCCCCTCCTCCTGGCTCGCTCCTCGAAGAGGGAGGGAGGAGGAGGAGGAGGAGGAGGAGGAGGAGGAGGAGGAGGAGAATGACGAGAGAGGATGAGGAGGAAGAGGAGGAGGAAGAGGAGGAGAAGAAGGAAAAGGAGGAGGAGGAGAACGAGGAGGAGGAGGAGGACGAGGAGGAGGAGGAGGAGGAGGAGGAGGAGGAGGAGGAGGAGGAGGAGGAAAGGCGGAGGAGGAGGGGGAGGAGGAGGCAGAGGGGGACGGGGGCGAGGGTAACGAAGATGTGGAGGAGGAGGAGGAGGACGACGACGACGACGACGTCGACGAAGACGGGGTCGACAGCGACGATGAAGAAGACGTCGGTACCAAAGCGTTGCCGCGCGTCTCCAGAGCGGCTCTATGGCGCGGATGGCGGCGAAGCTGGCTGGCTGCTACCCGGACGACCCAGTGGCGCGCTTGCGCCCCCTCTTGTTCAATATATTTGTATATCGTATTCTCTCTCTCTCTCTCTCTTTCGCTCACTCTCACTCTCTCCCCCTCTGTCTCCTCTGCAGCCGCACTGATGAAATCGATGAGAAGGTCGACCCTGAAAGATCAAGGGCGCTCTCAATCCTTCCTGCCTTTTCGTGCCACGTGTCCTCCAGCTTGTTCTGTGCAGCATTGCTCCCGAAGGAAAGAGTCGGATCTGCTTTTGGTCGCCATTGTATGGGGCGGGGAGAGGCCGAGGATCGCAATAGGGAGGAGAAAGAGGAGAAGACGGATGAGGAGGAGAAAGAAGAGAAGGAGGATGAGGTGGAGAAGGAGGAAGTGGAGAAGGAAGAGGAGGAGGACGAGACGCAGGAAAAAAGAAGGAGAAGACGAGCCGTCGGAGGAGGAGAGGGGGAGGAGGATGCGGAGGAGGGTAGATAATTCGGAGAAGACGTTCAGAACTCCGTCAGCACAGTGGAGCCTTAAGCCCGCGGGGCGACGGCGTGAGCCACTGCCACCCCGTGCCGAGGACCCCCCTCGGGAGCTCTCAGCTGGCCCCGGCAGCCCCCGCTACATCCCTGGGCCGAAAGCTGTTCTGCTTGCATGAAAGAACCATGGACCCCATTGGATCCCAGTGCATGTCTACAAGAGTCGCGTGCATCCCATCCATCTATCTTCCAGACCCCGTTTTTGGAGTGGAAGCCTGGTGGGTCCCACTCGTTCGCCACCAGCTGTAGAATGCATATTTATGAGAGTGAAGGGGCCGAACGGTCATTCACTGTCCCTGGGCACGTGGCTGAAGTGAGGTTCCCCTGTGCGGATTGTTGTTGCTGGTGTTGAATTCTGACTACTGAAGAATATTTCTTGTTGATCCCCCCCTCCGGTGCAGATTGTATTTTTCAATTGAAGTGCCTTTCCCGGCGCTCGCACCCTGTTTTCTTATCAGGGAAAGTCTTCCTCCTCAAACTGCGTTGTTGGCCCCCGGGTTACAACAACAACGGCTCCCGCTTGAGATTTCTTCATAATTTAGCCAGGACCCCCGCTCCCGCCCAAGATTTCCTCGTATTTTATGCAGGAATCGCGTTTTTTCTAGGGACTTCCTTCTAATCTATGCAGGAACCGCTCTCTCGGCGCTCTGGAATCGCGCTCTCGCTGGAGACTTGCTTGCAAATTACTCAAGAGCAGCGCCCTTGCGTTGCAATTCCCCGCAATTCGCTGAGCGCCGCGCTCCCGACACTCAGGCACCCAGGAGTCGCGCTCACGCTTAGGACCCCCTCACAGATTATTTAGGAATCAGGATCTCGCTGCCCTTCGTGGCCCCGCTGCAGCCCTTCGTGGCCCCCTCACTTTGTTGCGCGGCCCCGTTGCAGCCCTTCGTGGCCCCCTCGCTTTGTTTCGTAGCCCCGTTGCAGCCCTTCGTGGCCCCCTCGCTGTGTTTCGTGGCCCCGTCGCAGCCCTTCGTGGCCCCCTCGCTTTGTTTCGTGGCCCCGTTGCAGCCCTTCGTGGCCCCCTCGCTTTGTTTCGTGGCCCCGTTGCAGCCCTTCGTGGCCCCCTCGCTGCCCTTTGTGGCCCCGTTGCACCTCTTCGTCTGCCCTTCGTGGCCCCGCTGTCGCCCTTCGTGGCCCCCTCGCTGCCCTTCGTGGCCCTTTTGCAGCCTCTCGTGGCCCCCCCGCTGCCCTTCGTGGCCCCGTTGCAGCCCTTCGAGGCCCCCTCGCTGCCCTTCGTGGCCCTCTCGGTGCCCTTCGTGGCCACATATATGTATGCCCTTCGTGGCCCCCGCTCGTTCGCGCTCGTCGTGGCCCATATGCATGCCCTTCGTGGCCCCGCTGTCGCCCTTCGTGGCCCCCTCGCTGCCCTTCCTGGCCCCGTTGCTGCCCTCAGTGGCCCGGTCCTTGCCCTTCGCGGCCCAATATACGTATGCCCTTCGTGGCCCCCGCTCGTTCGCGCTCTTCGTGGCCCCACTTGCATGTCCTTCCTGGCCCCGCTGTCGCCCTTTGTGGCCCCCTCGCTGTCCTACTTGGCCCAGTTGCTACCCTCAGTGGCCCCGACGTTGCCTTGTGTGGCCCCGCATTATCTGCCCTTCGTGGCCCCCGCTCGTTCGCGCTCTTCGTGGCACCATGCGCATTCCTTTCGTGGCCCAGCTGTCGCCCTTCGTGGCCTACTTCGTGCCCTTTCGTGGCCCTGTTGTCGTTCTCTCTCTCGCTCTCGCTTTCGCTCGTCGTCGCCGTCGTCGTCGTCGACGTCGTCATCGTCGTCGTCGTGGTCGGTCCCCTGTCCGTCCCTCTTGGGTCGGGTTGCCGCCGATCAGCGCTGCCGCTGGCCAGGCCGACGGTCCGCGGCCGCCCCGCCGCTTCCCGGGGCCCAGCCTGCATGGAAGAAGGGTCGACCCCCTAAAAGGGATACGATCGAAGACGAAGAGGGCGGGTATCCAGGGTTTGGGAAATACGTGTTCACGGACACTCGAACAGATAAGAGCGAACAGTATTAAAATGATTGTTGATGTTGCTGTTGTTGTTGTTGTTGTTGAACATTATTTATTCTAAAGAATAATTATTGTTGGGCCCCCTGGTGCGCGCCCCCCCTGCGCCGCCTAGGCCGCAGCTACATTTTCATCATTTTCGTGAGGAAGCCTCAGAAAAGAGGGTGTGTACAGGATCCGGTTGTTTAGTTGTAATCCGCTTTCCCTTGCAAAAAACAATAGAAAATGACATTTCTTGTTCTAATATAATCAAATTTCAAGAACCCCTTGCAAAAAATAAGGTAAAGTGGACATTCGCGCGCGCAAGACGAAATCCTTCCAAAACCTTAGTGTTCGCAGCGATTTTAACATAAAAACATCAAAAAACCAATGGTTTTTCAACAAAAAAATTGTCAAAATCTCATCCCGCGCGCTCTTGCGGATTCGTAGGAAACCCAACACTTTTTAAACATTTCTGTCCAACGGGCTTTTGCGAGCAACTTTTTCGAACTTCTGCAACAACGGTTGCGCACCTGCCAGGGCCATCATCCCTGTCAAATAATAACATGCGGGACACATTAGTTTTTTCTTCGCGCGCGCACGCCGTCGTCGTCGGCCGCGGGGCCCTGAATAGTAGCCACGGTCGTCCGCATGCCACGAAGTAAAGTGTCCGAACGTCATAGGGCGGGAAGCTGGGTGTGGGTGGTGGCGAAGAGTCTTTTGGAAATTTGGTAGAGCTTGAACCGGCCCCCCCACAAAGTGGGGGTATTGCCCGCCTCCTATGAAAACCCTGGCACTGGTGAGAACGGAGTTTCCCCACGTGCTAGTAATTGTTGTTGTTGTTGTTGTTGACCATTAATAATTCTAAAGAAAAGATTTATGTTGGGGCCCCTGTGCAAACCGGCCCCCCCTGCCGCGCCTTTAACCCAAGGCCGCAGCTACATTTTCAACATTTTCGTGAGGAAGCCTCAGAAAAGAGGGTGTGTACAGGATCCGGTTGTTTTGTTGTAATCCGCTTCCCCTTGCAAAAAACAATAGAAAATGACATTTCTTGTTCTAATATAATCAAATTTCAAGAATCCCTTGCAAAAAAATAAGGTAAAGTGGACATTCGCGCGCGCAAGACGAAATCCTTCCAAAACCTTAGTGTTCGCAGCGATTTTAACATAAAAACATCAAAAACCAATGGTTTTTCAACAACAAATTGTCAAAATCTCATCCCGCGCGCTCTTGCGGATTCGTAGGAAACCCAACACTTTTTCAACATTTCTGTCAAACGGGCATTTGCGAGCAACTTTTTCGAACTTCTGCGACAACGGTTGCGCACCTGCCAGGGCCATCATCCCTGTCAAATAATACCATGCGGGACACATACGTTTTTTGCGCGCGCACGCCGAAATCTCCAAAAACCATTGGGTTCTTAAGAATTTTAGCACCGCGCATCATAAAATCACACGAATCGCACCGTAGGTCCTCGAAAAACACCTGCACGACTTTTCAAAATTTCCACCCTCGCGCGCTGTCCGAATCCTAAAACAACCAATGGTTTTCCAACATTTATGTTACATGAGCTCGCGCGAGCTACTTTCGCACGCTTCTCCCCAACGGGGTTCGCGCGCCCGCCAGGCCATATCCCTTGCGTTTGGCGCCATAGGTTGCGCCCTCGGCCGCCGAGAATAA